TTATTAGTATTGAAATGATAATTAATCATGTTTACTTATTATTAGTAATGCTTTAATTGATGTTGTCTTATCATTACTCTGTGTAATATGAAATAATTGGTTAATAAACTATATATTGCATCATGGCTGATAAGAGATGATAACGATTACATTCTGATTCAGTCTCATTACCTAAAAGTAATGCACGGTAATTTGTATATATCCCACAAAATCAACTAGAACGAACAACGAAGTACAAATAGCAACAAACTCTGCGTGAGGGTGGATAAAATACCAGACTTTCGTCCAGGAGATGCATCGTTCGTGTAACCGGAAGTCACAACGTTGATTTATTTCTCTTGTAACTTCTCTGCCACAATCTAAACTAAACCTAAATAAGTCGTTTTGTTGCCTAAACCTGAGCAAGCGGTTTCCTGTGAAGACGGAAGTTTGTTTTGAAAAGACTCAATGCATGCAAGTGCATCAGCAGTTTATTGTTGCACACTTTATAACATTTCATATACTTTATTTAGTATTTATTAATTATTAACCATGGACAAAGTATTGACTATCTATCTGTACATTGTTTTAGATGCTTTACAAAGTATCTATTAAACATTTAACAAAGTATTATAATCATCAGGTGCAACTTTATAAAAGCCATCCAGATGTTTATCGACAATTTACAAACCAAATATTGACCACTAACAAAGTGTCACACACATCTGGTCCATCTATAGATGTTTTACAAACGATTTCTTAAAGATTTACTAATCATTAACAAATACTTAGTCTAGTATATAAAACGTTATAATGTGTGCAAGAATAAACATTATTAATTATTATTTCATTGTAGTTGACTTATGAGTTTATTAATGATGCTTATTATAAAGCGTTAACTCGACCTTCACTGAGTCCTTTCACTTCAGCACAAACACACATTTCTTGAACATTTTCAACTCTAACGGATGCATTTAGGTGTCGAGGCAGGGAATCGCTAACACGCAGCCGGGTTACATGGATCCCCCCCCCCCCCCCCCCCCCGGCCCCCGCAGGTGCATATTTCTGCCTGCAAGAAAAGAGAAACGACAGGCTGGTCTGAGGTCAGTAAACAGCGCTCCAAAGGGGTCATGTGTTTTACTGCAGAGGGCCAAAAGGTCCCAACATTCATCCCGCGGTAATTGAATTGGCCTGGTGTATGAAGCTGCTCCAGTTCAGCTGCACGCACACAGATATACAGCGCACACGCACGTGTGAACTCACAGTTTCACACAACACACACACACACACGGGAGCTGTCACATGTGCAATCAGACACACAATCATGCCTAAACACACACACACACACACACACACACACACGAACACACACACACAGAGGAACATATTGGTGCTCATCTGTGCCAACGCCCCATTGACCCATATTGCAGTTTTTGCCCGGCAATAATACGCCTCTCAGTCTCTCTCTCTCTCTCTCTCTCTCTCTCTCTCTCTCTCTCTCTCTCTCCAGCCCTCATGATTCACTCTCAGGAGCTTCATCACTGTTACGATCTGCTGACCGAGGCCCAAAATCTGCCCTAAATATCTGGATCATGTTGTCCGCTTAGCAAGATTGTTTTTATTTTCTCCCAACATTGCTGTGTGAGCATCGCTCCATTTCCCTCTAAGTCAATAAAACACTTGTAATCTGATGTTTGGAAACAGAAAAGGGAAGATTATTTTGCTGCTTCCTGCTCAGTCACTGGTAAATCTAGATATTTATAAAAACATATGATTATTGAAAGATCCCTTTTTCAAGAGGACACACTACAGGTGAATAGGGTAAACATTTTAACCAACAGATATCACCTTATAACTTCCCCAGCTATTTACTGACATTAAGACAATTATTCTTTGTATTACAAGTTTTCCAAAATGTTAGAGTTTGAATGTGCAAATGATCTTATGAAATAATAATTATAAATTATAAATTATCAATAAGTGCTGGTTTGCATGAATTTTCGGAACAGAAATCTGAAGTTTGGATAAAGCCAGGGTCTAAATCATTGTTTCATTTTGATGACATATTAGATTCAATGAAGTGAATTTTGGATATCTCGTCGTGTCAATTCATAAATCAGAAAATACGGTCAACAACCATAAAAAAGCTATTTTCTGCCATGTTTTAGTGATAAAATGTAGTATAAATCAGACTATGAATGATATGTGAACAATTCAGCGGCTCAGACTCTTTGTTTTAGTTTAGACTGAGATATGCGTGTGTGTGTGTGTGTGTGCGCGCGTGTGTGTCGGTGTGTGTGTAGTTGTTGGCGGGGTGATATTTCCTCCATCATCTCCAGTCAGGAGGCCGATCGCCACTGCGCATACATTTACATGTTAATCTGTGCAGCTGTTCGCTAATTGGAAGTCTCTCCTCACTGATTGGTGGGTTCATCCGTTTCATGATTATGGGGGTATGTAGTATGTAAAAATCTTTACCGTTTCGAAATGTGAAACCTGCGTTTATGTGATTGAAACATGCACAAAAAAAATGCGCCTCAGATTTGACATTGTCAGATCTCATCAGTGTAATCTCTGTACTCCAGGTGGGTTTTTTGATAAAATTGCTCTTGAAAACATGCTTTTTTCTGCTGCCACTTTCTCTCAACCATGTTAGTGAATAAATCTTCACGCCACTTGAATAATGGTTTCTTTTTTTTTTCCTTTAGAGCTGATGTTTTCAGCGTTTACCACCATCTCCACCTCATTGTAATGCTGACGAAAGTATCTCAAGGTGATGTTACATCATCTGCATGTCTCCAATTATGACGGGAGTTAGAAACTCCAAGCAGCATCATTGACACGTCACCTACAGCAGTTTGTAAAAGCTTTAACCCACATTGATAACGACAAAATGCTGCTGCATTGTCAATCCATCTATTAGGGCTTCCCTCTTAGTAGATTAGTCCACTTAGCTGTCATTTTGGACTTCGGCGCTGGGGAACTTCCACGAACAGCGACGGCGTCGTTCTCGCAAGAAATGCGCAAAAAAAAAAAAAAAAAAGGGACATGTGAACGACCACTAAGGACACAATTAAGAATTTCTTTAGTTGAGGAAGTCCCAACTATCTCTGGATTCACTCACGAGGGTGACATAAATCCGCATTTCTTTTTCTTTTGTGACTCGGCACCATTGACCATAGCTGGCTGTTTTAACGGTGTTGACTTTTGAAGGAACAAGAGTCCAGGGAGTGACTGCAGACTGCAGCTTCTAAAATGCAGGTTTAATATTGATCCCATCGCATTCTCTTAAATAAACATCATAAACCGCATCAGTTCCGCGATAATACAGCATTATAAATCATGAAAGCTATCGGACGAGGCACCCCCCTCCCCCCCCCATCTGCAGCAGCTCTAATCTGGAACCCGGCGTGCTGCTGTGACGTTGTCTCTTTTTTAAGTCTCATCACAGATCGGGACGTTTTGATCCGCAGATGCGTTGTGATTGTTGACTTTCAGTTGCATCGCAAGAGGACTCGAATTGAGCTGGAACTACTCCGAAATGATTCTCTTAATCCGTTTGACTCCTGACCTCCACCTAGATTCTGCACCGCGGCGACCCCATTGGATCGGGTATTGAGGAATGTCGTCACTGCAGTTTGTGGCTAATGCCTGGAAGTCAGTTCACACAGTAATGAGTGTTGTGCTCCGTTCATGCGTTTGCTCTTACTATAATGTGCGTTTGTGTACAATTTGCATGACAAAAGGAAAACCAAATCGAACGAAGCACAACCGAATCTCAGCATACAGCCTGGCAGAAGAACATTTCCTCATAAAACTCTCTTGTTAAAAAACAGCAATAACACACTGGTTTCTGTGCTGCACTTGAGCTTTTCCACATGTTGCTGAGCAGCGGAGCAGAACACTAGAACAACTCTATAAATCTACAGTTTCACATGACACAACATTTTATTTTGCATAACGGAACCCGTTGTGGATGCTGCAGAATATAATTATCATTGATTATACATGCAAATGAATGACCCTGATGAAGTCTAACGCAGCTGCAAAGCTTTGGTTTTAAAATGTTTTGTTAAGTTTACAAGAATAGCAAAGTTTTTCTTTGGCTTTTTCTTAATTAACCCTTTGAATAGTAGACTTTGCTCATTTTACATTAAATCAATGTACTGCATTTCAGGACTATTTTAAAAACAGCTGTGAGACTGTTGATATGAGAATGTAGAGATGAGAGTGTCAGTTGTATTAGTAGCGTAAAAACCATCCCCTAAAAATATATTTTCAATTAACTGTGTCACTTTTTCATCCATGTTGGTTTAATATGTCTTAGAGTCGCATGGAGTTTTGGTCCTACAGTTCCCATCATGCTTTGGGTGATGCAAACAGTTAGTGTAGCCATGCCATGGAGTTAGTAGGTTAGCTGTGAGCTACAGGTATACATTTTTTAGCCCATCTATCTTTAATTTTACATTTTGGTGAATCTGCCCAATGAAAAGTCACGCTGACTAAGATGCTAGATTGATGCAAGCAACACCATGTATCAAGCACCGTGATACTTGGTGCTCAAACATAGTCAAAGCTGATGGCCGATGTTTTCCTGATGTCAAATTTTTTAAGTTAAGATGTCAGCCATATTATCTAGTGTCTGTTTTTGTTCAGATTCCTTTTGATGCGGATTCAAAAAACTGTTTTTGTTTTGTTCTGTTTGTCATGTTTTTCTTGTGTTGCAAATGGAATACAACTGCTTTTTGTTCCCTGTGTTGCACAATGACAATAAACTATCCTTGAATCATACAATTATTTACCTGGTTTACTTTGATATGGACGACAATGTCTAAATCGGATGATTATGGGGCGAGCTCTGAAGTAATAAGGAGTATTGTTTTTATCATTTAATCAGATTTAGATAGATAAGTGTAACTTGGAGGACTTGCAAAGTTATGTCCTGTGTATTGCTGAGTGGTAGTAACTTTCTTTGTGATTGCACTGTGCAGTATATTCTCAGTGTTTTTGTTGCATCATACCTGCAGAAGACTCCCATGCCCTCCAGCAGGTAACACTGCCCCCCGTTGAAGCAGTAGTTGGGCAGCATGTCGCAGGGCGAGCGGCAACTTCCGTTCATCATCTGGTACCCCACACGGCATCCACCCATCCCGTCCGACCCGTCCACCGGTGAGGCCGCAGGAGGAGCCGCCACAGGGATGTTCGGTGCTGGAGCTCCAGCGCCGGGAAGCGCCGCCCCGGGGATGAAAGAGCCAGACCCTGGGACCCGGGGCTTGGGTCGAGACCCAGCGGAGAGCCGGAGGTCTTCGTCGCTCTCGAAGGCGTCGGTCGTGGTGCTGTAGGTGTACTCGTCAGCGGTGGGGGACACGCCGTCCTCGTAGGGTGTGAGGTAGTCGTAGTTGTCCGGCATCGCCCAGGAGGTCGCGTCGCCGCCCTGCAGCTCATGGGCCAGTGATGAAGGAGAGGGCGGGGCCAGGTCAAGGCCACGCCCACGAGATGAGGGGTCGAAGAAGTCCACATGGAGGACGTCGGGGTTAGTGGGGTTGGTGGGGGCTGAGGGCTGAGCGGTGGAGGTGGTGAAGATGCGGTCCATGTTAAACACGGCTGTGTCCTTGGCGTGGATCCAAGGCGGGTCGGTGTGCGGCAGACGCTCCTCCTCTTCCTCCTCCTCCTCCTCCACGCTCTCCAGGACGTCCTGTCCGCGTGGGTTGCTGGGCAGCAGGTGCTCCATCTCAGCCGAGTCAGGGCTTAGCTGGGGCGGGGCAGCCACGCCCACTTCCTCCAACGCGGGAACCATTGTCTCGCCGAACATGCCGCTGCTCTGCTCTTCCTCCTCGCCGGCGGGGGGGATCCGGTCCGCCCCCGGGGTCACAGTGGCAGGACTGGCCGAGCTGCTCATCATGGTTACCGTGGCGATGACCTCGTTGACCTTGACAGGCCCCTCCTCCTCGCCAAGCAGGGCGGTGTCATTGGCCGCACTGTCCGGCTCAGTGGCATTGGTCCCGACAACGGTTCCTACAAACACAAAACAAAGTGTCTTAGTAAAAATATAGCAGCTGAGAAAGTGTTCTGAGTTTGTTTTAAAGGTTTCGAAGGAAACAGATAATAGTAATTTATTGCACATCTTAAAATATAAATCTATCCCACATCTTAAAATATAAATCTATCTCTATTTGTGAGATCCTGTGTGCAGATGCATGAGAGCCACTATGAACCAAAACACAAAAGATGTTTTTCCTCTCAGTATACAGAAACACAGCGGTGAGAGAATTTCAGCAAATTTAATGAGGTGCAAAATGGTTTCACTTGGAAAAACAGACCGCAGTTTGTATCGATCAGCTCGGGGAAAAACCTCTTGGTCTCAAATGGACTCCGGTTGCCGGAGAGCAGGGCTCATTAGGGAGACAGTTAGAAAGCAGCTGGTTTGATTTAAAGCATCAACATGGTCAAAGACTCACTCTGAGAGATTGCATCAATACAATTGATACAAAAAATACCCATGAAAATGTGTAAAATATCCGTGAAATAAAACAAAAACATGAGTTTTGTGACTTTTACTGAACTTGTGACTTTGAGTGAATGCAGCTTTTTTATGTCCTTAATGGGCACCATAGATGATTAATATAAATTTGGAAATGCGATTCAAAGTCTGACACTTTGTCACTTATGTTATTACTCTTTGTTTTACTTCTATTTGGGGGATAATCCTGTTCACATAATGTGGGGGCTTTGGAGGTGAAAACAGGAAGTGTTATTTTGCCATGCATTCAACTTCAGCCTTAATTCAAGCCTAATATGCCAATAAAAGTATTCCGAATTAGCTATTAGCGGTTCATTTTTGTAACATACCCATGGATGTACGGACAACCATCAGTGGATTATATTGTTACTTATGAAGACTTGGATGATTCTCAGTAAAATATTGGATTTAGAGCGTCTTTTCTCAATGATTAGACATTAGACATCTGAGGTAATGATATTATTGTGTAAGTGTAAGTCACACTGAATCTAAAAACATGTGTATGACAAATAAAACTGCTGCACAGCTTTAGCTGTAAAAAAAAATGTCCCTCTGTGCAGCCAGCAGTAGGAAAAAAAAAACAAAAAACGCTGATCCTGCACAAACCATGACATCAGAAGATGCAGCAACTGTAACTGTGAAAAATTCAACAATCGACGGGTTGGAAATAAATCGGCTGGAGACGGAGCGGTGGAAACAGCAACCATCCTTTTCTGTAAGGCTCGCTGTCAGTTCCCAGAAATAAAGAAATAACATTTATTCACTAATACAAATGTTGGCCTTAAATCTGATCACAGGAGCTAAATAAATGTCATTTCAAATGGAATATTTGCAAATATTTCCTGAGAATAGCTGCAAAATACACAGAGCTGTTGGATGCAGCATCTTTTGGATCTGAAACACAAACATTTACACATAGAATCAGCAACTGATTCAGTTTCCAAAGACTTTCCAACCTCTTCAAAACACCAGTGGTCCACTGCCACACGATGACATCACAAGTCTCCCTGCATTATGTGACAGACAAAGTGGGCTCAAGGAGTCTGGCAGTGAACCCGACTGGGGGAAACAAATTAAAACGAGACGTGATTGGCCGTACACTTATCCTCCGGTCGATTACTTCACCCGAGAGTGCCTCGTTGAGTCATGCAAAGAGTTGCTCTACGGCCGCTCCTCCTTTGGATTAAAGCAATAATACACTAATGTACTTGAATGGCGAGGAGCCGGGATTATGGATTATGGGGTTGGAGAGGGAGGGATTTGGGAGATTTTGGGGGTGCCCTGTAGAGGGGGGGGGTCTTAAGGAGACGCAGACAAGACAGCGTCTCGACGATTGTATGACAGCTTTAAATATGTGAAGATGACGGAGACGAGACTGTTCATCATGAAAGCCATAACTGTTTTTTCTGAGCCTGGTTAACGTTGGAACACTTGGTCTAGACACATGGTCTAGTTTAAAATAAGAACGACTGTTGCGTAACTTAAGCTACCGATGTAACGTCATGTGACTCAGTGGCACAGCGTCACAGAACCTCGTCGGCCAACTCAACTTTTGAATTCATGCGGTACACGAACGCCGGTCCTGTGTTGGTTTGACCCGTCCACCTCGTCCCCCTCCCGCCCTTAGCAGATTTTCTCGCTCCTAATTCATGCGTTCGTTGCTCTGAGCGTCTAATAACGAAGCACACGGGTTGACATTGGAGTTAGTGTAAAGCCTGGTGTGTCTCATACGGACGTTAAAGCGTGCCTCGTGCGTCGGTATAAAGACGGCGAGGGGCACTGCCAGACCAGGCTGTGCATCGCCAACATGAAAGTGGCTCCATATCAGGCCTCTGTTTACAATACTACTGAGTTTCCCAGGATGCATTTAGTACAAAGGTGCATTTATTTGGAGAGAAATCTTATCAACTTATCTTAAATGATAAAATAATAAAATAACACACTTAAATATTGAGTCAGTGGCCTCATCGATGTCGTCTACGCTAAAGAAAAGGGTTCACATTCATACATCGTACCTCAGACAACATACACTCATGTTTTAGGGTTTTAGGGGTTGGGGGTTCAATCCCCCCCCCGTGATCCCCCACGGTGAATAAGTGTGTGTGGTTGTGGTCGTATAAGTAAGGAGCTTTGGTAAACAGCCTCCACCAAATGGCATATGTGAGGATATCTGTGAGGATCTTTGCTGACTGGAGATAAGCTCTGACCCGACCCTCTGGGATTTTAATCTGTCCATCTCTAAATGTCTCCTCAATACTCAGCGAGGCTCCATGTACACAGCCGGTAGTTCATCATGTATTATGACCTCACCTAAGTTTTATGACTTTCATGATGAGATGTCTGATTTGGAAGCAAACAAGGTGCCAACGAGCCAACAAGCTAATAACTTCATCACTTATTAAACCGCAGCAGGATGAACAGGAAACCAGCACTGAGCAACTTTTACACAATCTCTTCTATACGGTTAGTGACGATGGTCCACAGATCACGTACCTTTTAACCCTTTAAGTCAAATCGGTACTTGTAAAGCCCAATGTATCCAATGTCTTAATGGGCTTAGCAGCCCAATAAAAGAAATCTTGAAAAACACAAAATTCCATACCCAAACCACAAAACTGCACGGCCAATTACGTTTCAAGGGAATGTATTTTCTGCTGAATAATGTTTATATTTGAAATATCACAAATATGTGAGATGAAAGTCTGCATAAGTCCGTAAAGAGAGGAGGTCGGGGTGGATGGACGGGTCAAACATGGGACCTTCACCTAGGAGACCGGTATTCAGTGTTAAACCAAAAGTTACGTGCTTATTCGAACCCAAAACATGATCTTTTACTAAACCTAACCCAAGTAGTTTTTATGCCTAAACCTATTAAATGTAATCGAGAATGTAGTTTCGAAACGGCAAAAGAGAGCTACGAGCGTTTAAAACACTATAACGCTGATAATCCACGTATGTAGAGACGGTGATATGAACATGGATTCAATGGATCCGTGGGTTGCAACATGTTATTTTTGCAAATGGATTGCAGCCCTTCATCATCGTCAGTTGTTAATCTTAAAAGAGGAAGACATTTTTAGCCAATTAGTCCTTTTAATGTTGACTGAGCTTTAACTCATTAATTGTTAATAACCATCCATATTTCTGGCATCACAACATTTTCTTAAGTCGAAGAAGAGGACAATTTCCCGAAACCCTTCTGCACGACTGCATAGATCTGCTGAGATTATAAAACTTAAGAAACAATTTCACACATGTTCACCGATTTTTTGAGTTGAATTGAGGCGTTAATTGAATAGAATGAGGGAGTCAGTTCGTCCACAAGGAATTCTTTGAGTTGTATCGTAGCCGGAAAGAACAACGGAGTTAAAAGTCTTCTTCATATTGAGAGTAATACAGGGAGGGCAAATTGACCTCTTTGCTTCTTCTTTGATGGATACATTGTTGACTTTTAATGCCGTTATTAAACAGAAATAAGTGAAGAGGGGAGTAAGAGACGAGGATTTCTGTGATTGCTGGAAACTGGTTGAAAAGAACGAACCCTCCATCTTTGATTCTCACATGATTACCTGATGTTCACCGCAACAAAACGATCCCAGAAGCTCAAGATTAAGCGTCAGCAGAAGCAGCTGTGGCCTGTGCAAAACTCAAACTACTGAAATAAACAGATATAGACCTCGTCTGCACAGATCTTGGCTCAGCTTCTATTTCTCCATTTTAAAGAAATTAGTACTGCGTTTGAGTGCGATAACTCATTGTATATAATGAAATACTTCCGCTGCGGTTTGCATCAACATCTAACGTCAAAGTGCCCTTGAGCAAGCCTTTTTTTTTTCTACCAGTGGCTGCTGCTCCTGCCAGTGAAGAGGATCGTATACTTGAATTGTGCGAATATAAAGCAGCACAGTGCTGATGAAGCCTGCCATGACAAATCGTTCCTGACTTCACACTGATTAATGGATATTCCTTATGAATGTATGCATGTTATGGTTTCATAAAAAAACAAACATCATCATTACGCGTGAGGCTGTCACTTTAGCCACGAGGCGCTTGACAGGTGTAAGGCCTCAGCTTTGTTTTGCTGCGTCTTTGAAGCCGGGGGTCGTTCTGGGGCTAATCCTTCCGGCAGTCCCACAATCCACTGCTGTTTAACACATCAGCTGAGCGGCCCGGGATAATATGCAAAAACCCCACGCTCACACACACACACACACATATAAATAACCGGCTTCACTATAACCACACATAAGCATTTTACACACCGAATGCTTGACGCTCACCAGGAAATCAGGATTTCAGACCTCTCTCTTAAGCAAAACGATCACACTCGCCTTCACTGGCTTTGTCTCTCGCTTGTGTTTTCACATCGACACACACTTGACAGCGACACACTCATTAGGGGACAGTTTGTCCGTGTGAGCGCTGTGTTTGCGTGAATCTCCCGGGGAAACCGGTCAGCTTTCAACACAAATACCTCTTCCTCCTGCTGCAACAA